CGGATAGAGAACTGTTAGTTCTATCTTCATATTCAATAGCACGCTTATCCGATTAAAAACGCCTTAGAAATACGCAAAATACTAAGAAACTTTGTGCAAGTGGCCGGAATTACCCCATCTGACTCTATTCTGTTTACAAGGAAACATGCACCAAACTGCATAATATATATAGAGAAACGCCATCTTTTCCAAACGGATGACCACATACATCTACCCCTCGGAAGAACACAATCAGCATTAACCAAAAGCACAACTACCACTCCAAACCACGACAATTCTCACCAACAATATGCGTAAATTCTCCTGATGTCACCAGAAAAATTATCAAGCCAACCCACACACTTTTTTTTTTTATTCACCGACACAAAATTCTCATGACGAGAGCATAATCTCTTCTAGACTATATGCATAATTCACACACAAAACAGCATATTTCACGTGTAAAACCATTATTTCAGTGACCCAGACAATCGAGTTTTTACGAAGTGATACAAAAGTCTCGTGAACAGAGCATAATTCTGACACAAAAGGCCATAATTCTCGTGTAAAACCATCATTTCACTGACCTAGACAATAAACTTTCTATAAAGAGATACAAAATTCTTGCGAAGACAGCATAATTCCTTCTAGACTATACGCATAATTCGCAGAGAAAATACCATAATTCTCGTGTAAATACATTATTCTAGTCACATAGACAATAAAGTTTCTACTAAGCGACAGAAAATTCTCGTGAAGACAGCATGATTCTCACACAAAACAGCATAATTCTGGTGTAAGAGCATTATTCTGATGACCTGGGCAAAAGAGTTTCTATGAAGAGATACAAAATTCTCATGGAGAGAGCATAATTCCTTCTAGACTGTACGCATAATTCGCAGAGAAAACAGCATAATTGTAAAAGCATTATTGCCATGTCCCGGACGGTAAAGCTTCTTTGAAGGGATACAAAATTCTCGTGGAGAGAGCACAATTCTCACACAAAACAGCATAATTCTGGTGTAAGAGCATTATTCTGGTGACCTGGACAAAAGAGTTTCTATGAAGAGATACAAAATTCTGATATTTTCTTGCTTGAGGATGATTCTCTTGCAAGGGAGCATAATTCGCGTGAAGAACTGACGCAAAAGGCAAAATTGATACATCGCCGTATTTTCACCACTCAGAAGTAACTTCTGCTAGTTTCGTAGCAAAATTCTCGTGGGACGAAGATAATTTCGGTTTGACGATTTCTCTCCCACTGCTGTCGTGAACTATATGTGAGAAGGGAAGAAGATAACACAACCCTTTGCTTTCTTTTTATGTTTGAATACTTTATGTCTTCGATGGACATAACACGTACAAAATTGAATATTGTACAAAACAAACACTCTGAGAAAACCTTTTAGTCCACCAGCGCTTTAGTAGTATTTTTGGTGCATGCATGTGTAACCGTTGCGAAATTCTTGTTTTATCATATTTTTCAGTCTACCGACCAAGAACAGAATATTCGTTTTTCATTACAAAAAATGTTTTAAGACATCCTCAGAAGTTTACTTTCTTCTGTCATATTATAGATCCATAAAATAACTTTGGTCATATTAGCGAACAGTGACTTTTTCATATTAAGATTTATATGTCAGAACGATAGAGAATATCGAAAGAAGTTGAATATGGCTTTTTCCTTAAAAAAGATTTTGTTACTTCGTTACTTTCTCGAGAGTAACGAAGTAACTAGATTAGTTACTCATTACTGGTAACGGGTTACTATATTAGTTACTTCTTTACTAGTAACTAGTAACAAGTAACTAAGTTCGTTACTTTACCTGGTAAAGTAACGCCGAGTAACTAGTACTGACTATTAATGACCAAAAACTTATCAGTTAATTGGCAGTTAATGACTCATTAATAAGCCATAAACGAGCCATTTTTTATCTCGTTTTCATTGTCCTAGATTCGCTCTTATTTTTTGGTTCTGTGAAGCTAGATATACCCGTAGCCGTATTTTGGTAAATGTAACATTGCTGTTTGAAATATACTTTGCTCTAAGACAATAAAAATCAATTAAAACTTGTTTGAATTTATTATTTAATATTCCACAATGAATAATTTATTAATTGTTGGACTTGTTGTTCGAACTGCTTTGTTTCACTGCCTTCACCATCTTCTTCATCTGAAATTAATTAATTCACAAATTTAATGAAGTAAAGATAGATATAATCGATCAAGGTGAGAGAAGAATCTAGTTTGATCATAGTTTCTTATCTCTTTTCCTCCCCTTTCACAGTTAGGATGAGAGTAAAAAAACCTTAAAAGTGTCGCACGCGCTCGAAAACACAAATGTTTCTTACCTGGTTGATCCGTATTAGTACCACCCCGTTTCCATTAATACCCTTATTTCCTAAATGGCGATTATCCCAGTGTGTCGCGAATAGCTTTTTCATTTTTGCCGTTTGTACACATCGATCATTACGCAATGATTTCGATAACTGTTGACGGAATAAATCCTAATATAAGCAGACGTCAATCAGTGAGAGAGAGAGAGACGAGAAAGTAGGCGAGATGGGGATTACGTACCAGTTGTGCTTTTAATTTGAGCGAGTAATTCTTTTTATATTTGTTTATATTGATTTACTTGAAGTAAGTTTAGTTCGAATATGTCCCACGTTTCTTTTCCTAGCTCCATTGTGAACACAATTCTTTTACATCATTATAAAGCTCTGTCTGTTTCCTTCGCTTCTATTATAACACATACGAACAAATATCAAAGAGAAAGTTGAAAAATGAATAATTTGTCTTCTTCCATGGTTTACATTTTTAGTAACTTATTTATCATTTTGAAATGAACTTTTTCTCTTGAAACTACTCTAGTTTACAAACCATTTTATAAAGATTTATAAAATTTAAATAACTTCACAATGGTCAATAAGCAATCAGAAAAGAACGTGACTCTGCTTCCGTAAAAGTTAAAATACTTAGATGAGCTGTATCTAAAACCGACTTCTTCCTAAGCATTTGTCATTCTGTGATCAACTTTTTTCTTTTAACTTCGCAAATTTAAACGCCATTAGGCAGAAAATTTGAGGAACATTATAATATGCCCTGCGTGTCCCAGAACATGTGCTAATAAATCAAATCTTAGACGTCATTTTTAAACAATGCATAGAAATTCTACGATCGCACTATTAACAAATGCAGCTGATAAAGATGATGGAGGAACTATAGCTACTGATGATGTGGGCAGGTTCATGAGTGCATTTGATGGGATTGCTGATGATGAAGCCGAAGATCCAGAACAAAATTTCAGAAATGATTTATCTTCAGTTACAACTATCCTGGATGATCCTGAAAAGCAATTGTATCTCTCTGTGACGAAATGGATCTTAAATATGAAGAACAGCTCTACCTCAGAATCTGATATTGACATGTTCGTTAAAGATTCCTTAAATGTGATGGTAAATCTATCAGCTTTAAAGGTGATCATCTTTCTCTCCCTGGGACAAGATTGATATTTTTTTTTGTTGTAGAGAAATTATTTACCAATATTTAGTTCAAACACACATTCTACTTATTCGAGACAGAAATTTCTAGAAGAAGCTATTACTGTTATTCAACCAAAAGGGGTTGTCTTAGGAAAAAAGGTATTAGTGAATCACAATCTTTGTGAAATTTTAGAATTTATGAATCGATGCGTCTAAGCTTTTTTCATATTTATTTAAATATCTAATATGCCACAACTATCGAATTCTTACTATCTGATCATCCCGGGACACAAACGTGTTCTTAGGCATCCTTTCTCTTTTGTTTGTGATTTAATCTGTTTACATTTCAGCAAATAATGAAATTCAGCAGAAGTAAAGGTCACAATGTGCCGGTGTGGAAACGTGGCTATTAGATACCCTTCATTGAAAGCTTGAAACAATTATTATCCATGCCTGAATTAGTTGATATATTGAATAAACAACCAATAATGACACAACCTGCTACTGCTCAAAGTTTGAAACAATTAAAAACTGATTATCATGATAGTGAATATTGTTATAACCATTCGTTCTTCAGCGCACATCAGTCAATTAAAATAATCTTATATTATGACGAAATAGGGATCAATAATCCCGTTGGAACAAGAAAACGAAGTATGGGAATGTTTTATTATACACTGACAAATATTCCTCGATATTTGTGTTTTCAAGACATGTATTTACTTATTAGCATGCGCCGATAAACGTGATATTGTAGAATTTGGTGTAGAATGATGTAAAAGAATTGTGTTCACAATGGAGCTAGGAAAAGAAACGTGGGACCTATTCGAACTAAACTTACTTCAAGTTTAAGAAATACTTACTGAATATTTTCTCGACTCAACTAAGAGGCATTGTGACGCATTGAGCTATGTTGACGTGATGCTTCTTAAATCTTGCAATACATGGTGAGATTAATGTGGTCTTTACGCGAAAAGTTCTCTTCTTAACACAATTAGCTGTGTTACTTACGTCCGGATCTCCGCCTTTTTAACAGTATTATCGGTCCCAAAATATAAGACATTTGTTTATTTTTCGAATGAAAAAATTCCAGAAAAGAAAGAGACTTGTAGTTATCACCAATCAAAAGAAGACAGTTTAGCCTACATTTTCATAACCAAAGCCCTTTTACGAAACCGTTTGGAAGATTGATTTTCTAGGAGATCTCTGAAAAACCAATTCGGATATCCGGAAACTGGTATAGCAATCTATCAGTTTTTTCATAGATAGATAGTCCAAAGTGTCCTCACCAAAATGAGAACTAAGCGAACTCTTAATTTTTCCTGGTTCAGGCGTAGCATCGGATTTACTTAGAGTCTGAGGATCAATATATCCTTCAAAACCAAGATATACGTAATCGATCACGCTGAATCTCATGGCAACATTTCAAAAAAGTTTCAAAAACCCGTGAAAACCTATATTAGGTGAGATAACCGGTTTTTGCCTATTTTTGAGTAAAATAAAAAAACCACAGGTTTTGAAATGTTGCCACGAGATTCAGTGGGTGGATTACGTGTATATTCGTTTTCGGATACCCAACCTGAAGGAATATTGATCCTCAGACTCTAAGTAAATCCGATGCTACGCCTGAACCAGGAAAAATTAAGAGTTCGCTTAGTTCTCATTTTGGTGAGGACACTTTGGACTATCTATCTATGAAAAAACAGATAGATTGCTATACCAGTTTCCGGATATCCGAATTGGTTTTTCAGAGATCTCCTAGAAAATCAATCCTCCAAATGGTTTCTCAAAAGGGCTTTGGTTATGAAAAAGTAGGCAAAACTGTCTTCTTTTGATTGGTGATAACTACAGTCTCTTTCTTCTAATATATGACCAACATATAAATAATTCTCCGATGCCATGTTTTCTGGCGTTAACATATTTTTTGCAATCCAATTTTGGTGGCGAATACTCAGTGATTTTGGCAGATTTTTGAGATTCCGATAAGTGTGTGTCTTAAAGAATGAATGTTTCTTCTCGAATGGAAGACAATTCGAAAATCTTAACGGACCTAGTGAGCTCAACTGTGTACAAAAATGTAACGCGAAATGATGTTTTGGTAAACGTTGTTGTGCACAATATAGAGCATCAAAATCTTTCAGATATTGTTCAATTAGATTATGATATTCTCGTTCTGTTGTTCGATCTATTTCCGTTAACAATGACACACATAGTAATGCTCTTAATTTTAACACACATGCCCCCTCGGCAGTCATAGTTGAAGATTTACCAAGTACATTTTTAATAATAAAAGATATATTTTTAATTACTGACAACATTTGAGCTGATTATAATGGGATTTGCTTATCTCTGTTCCAGTTGAATTTCGGATTAGATGCTTCGTCAATAGGTGGATAATGATATTCACCAATTGCTGTGCATATCTTCGTCCAAGAATAATTAATTTCCCTTCCAAATACTACCAGCAGTTAAGTTATAAAAATAATTTTAAATGGCGTTTACATATACCTAAAGATAGAAGGAGAATAGAGAAGATGCTTTTTTAAACCTAACCTTCTAAATAGATGTGCATGCTGTCTAATGCAGTTTGTTGAAAAATGTTAAATCCATTAACAGATGTGAAGACTGATCTATGATTGATTCCAAATTTTTGGATAATTTTTTAAATCCTTCTTGAGTAACACAATTGTCTAATTGATCACATTCATCCAAATTCATCCATTGTACGATGGTTACAGTCATTAATATTGAAAATTGTATTAAATTTATCCTTTGTTGTGTTGCATAAAAAACATGGAAGCAAAGCGTGCTTAAAACCACATTTGAAGCCGTGTATTCTGGCTAATGCTAACAGATCGACAACAATAGCAAGAAGAGAGCATTTTAAGGTCATTGTTGTTGGTGTTGTGGTGAAATAGGAACTATTATTATTTTGAGGATGTTTCAAATTAATATCAATTCCATCTCGTTGTAAATTATTAACAGAATCTGTTATCCCAGTGTGTCGCGAATAGCTTTTTCATTTTTGCCGTTTGTACACATCGATCATTACGCAATGATTTCGATAACTGTTGACGGAATAAATCCTAATATAAGCAGACGTCAATCAGTGAGAGAGAGAGAGACGAGAAAGTAGGCGAGATGGGGATTACGTACCAGTTGTGCTTTTAATTTGAGCGAGTAATTCTTTTCATATTTGTTTATCTGGATTTAATGATCGTACCATAATGTTGCTTTTTCGAAAATTTATACTTTCGATAAAATATTCGGGCTTCATTAACCGTATCGACCATAACGTTTGTGATATCACCTGGCAAACAGAGGAAGAAACACTAGCTGCCGTCAAAATTCAAGAATATTTCTAACTTTCTTTTTTCTATGAGTCTTGAAAAAGGTGGAGTTGGATATAAATAATCATTTATCCACGATGGAATTTTATACATCTAAGATATGTTGACATATAGAAATAGCACAGACTCTTCGGTTCAGAGGAAACATACTTATCGGCATTTTGTTTTTCTGGTTTCTTCGATGCCACAACACTATAATCGTTCTTATCATTTTGACAATTTAAACCATCAAACGACATGTGTGTTTTCTAGAAATAGAGGAAACATTAGGTTAAGGTCAAATTCCATACATATATACCTACTTACATCTAGCACAGATCCGCTTATTGCTTGAGTTTGGTGCTCGCACATGTGCCGGATGACATTGACACATGTATATTTCGACTCTCTGAGTCTCGAGGTTTCATTTGAGATACTACAAGATTATTTTTTGCGATGTTCGTTTTTTATCATTTTTGGGGTCCTTTCAGCCGCTCCCGGTGATCCATCTATGAATATGCTCTAAAAAGCAAGTTAG